TTAATGTGACGAGTCTGATTAATCCTTTAACCGCCCGGATGGTGGTTATATGCACAAATTGCTTCTCATACATATCTCTACTCATTATGGAGAAATCAGCTGCAGTATCCACTTCCATTGTTACAGTTGCGTCATTAATGCACAAGTCCACATTATACCTAAGTTTAACTTTCTCTTCATGCCTGGAGTAAATGGTAAACACATGGGCATTCTCATCATTATCAGGTTCAAAATTACTAACACTCATGAATACTGTTTTTCATTTCCTTCTCATCACCTTCAACGACATATACTCTACCTTTATCACTTCTGGCAGGGGCTGTAATTTCTTTCTCACAGGCAGGAGCAATATGTCCAATACTCTGACAATTGTAACATCTTGAATTTTTTAACTTACACTGAAAGCTTTCATGTTTCCCTAGGTGTCTCTTGCATTTTAAATCAGCATGTGTTCCTTGTTTTGTGGCATAATTCTTCCTTTTAGCTACAGTTACTTTACACACTGAGCCACTACTGCCAACTGCTTCACTACCGACATTGGGAACAAATTCTCCGGTGTTTTACTCTACTAATTCCAGCTTGTAGCTATCTGACATGCTTTTTCAAAAGTTAAGTTAGTGGTGTTCATTAACTTATTCTGTATTTTTTCATACTTCAGACCTATCACAAACCTGTCTTTTAGAGCTCGGTTCAAGAACTGTCCAAAGTTACAGTGAATGGATAACTTTTTCAAAGCTTTTATTTAATCACTTACTGATTCATCTTTCCCTCTATCTCTTGTGCCAAATTTGTAACTTTCAGCGATCTCAAGTGGAGCAGAATCAAAATGTTGCTTCAGAATCTTGGTAATCTGAATCAGTGAGATGTCTTTGGGTTTGTCTGGAGCAAGCAGATTGTCCAGAGTAGAATAAACATTAGCTCCTACCTCTGTCAAAAAGATTGCTTTCCTTTTCTCTTCAAGGGCCTTCTTCTTTTAAGCATCACCACCGTCGTCCATTAATTCATTTGCCAGGAAGAAGAAGTCCATTCTCTCACAATATGATGTGAAGTTCTCCATGTCTGCATCATACTCCCCCACACTCGGATGTATCCACTGACGCCAGCCATGGTTTCTCTCTTCACTTAAATTCGCCAGGTTCAGAGTAGCCTTCCCTTCAGTGGTCACTATCCTCTCTTCAAGGACTAAACCAACACTTTGTGAATCCCATCCTCGTCGCCAGTGTAGTATCTTACATGATTTAATGGGAGAATGAGAAGCCACATGCTGACTCTCTATTACTCAGGTCGTTTATTGTTGTTGTTGTATACCATGTGCCTAACACATTAGTGATTACACTTTTACATACATGATTTAATGGGAGAATGAGAAGCCACATGCTGACTCTTACTCAGTTGGTTTACTGTTGTTGTTGTCGTACCATGTGCCTAACACATTCGTGATTACACAGGCCTAAACACATTCTAACTTTGGTAAGAAGTAGCATAATTTATAAATTATATATAATCAATAAAAATGTATATATAATCAATAAAGGCAGCATTTAAACATACACATGTATAACAACGATGTAGCAAAGCTTATTTTAGTCGTTTTTTTTTCCTGACGGGACTAGGCTATGAAGTCCCATCTCCCTTGCACCTCATTGGCTCGTATGCATAATGTTCAACTAATATCGATGTATCGCAAATTAATCCATGTGCTGTGTAACTTGTTAAGAAAACTCAGTTCTGGCTCATTTAGATGGTTGAAAATAATAACTTTCATAATATGAGTGGAAATAAGTTTTAAATAAATAATATTCCATCAAAGTCACAAATTCTCGCTTTCGGACACCAGATGCGCCACTACTGCTTCTCTTTTTACTAATTATTATGTACACCAAGACAAATGACACCAAATATATAAAGCAACCTGACAATTATGACCATTTTATAAAGAGTAGTACCAAGTGTAAACACCACATATTCACTAACATCTTCGGAAAAAATTCAAGCACGGCAATTACCTGATTACAGTCTCGCTCAATGAAGAAATAACTGTAATCATGAGTGATGGGGGAAGTTTGGTCACCCCTATTAAGAAATAGATCCTCCGGTGCTGGGTATAAACACATAGAACAACATTGCCACGATAAAACTTTTATAAGCAACTTTAAGTCAGTGGGCTGGCTGACTGATCGTGATTTGGTTGAGTCAGTTGGCGGCAACTGGCATCGTGCCAGCTACCGACACAGTGACTCCGTGCCAATGCCATAACTGCCAGTCCTCTACTGTAGTAGTGTCAGGTTGCCAGAACTTACAGCCATACACATCTCTTAAAGAATGATTCATGTATTACTGATACAGTAAACAGATAACGTTAGCTTTCTTGTCCCTCCACTGAGAAATGGACTGGTGAACAAGGCTGATAAGTGGTTGATTATTCCCGAGGTTTTAGTGTTCAAGGGTGACCTTGGCTGCCACCGTGCCCCGTGACCAAAGTTTAGAGAATTTTATGTTCTCTAAACTGTGTTGTTATTAAACGGTGCCTAGTGTTCAGTGCTCGTCACACCACGCAACATGGGGGAAGTCACAGTGGCTGTACTGGGTAAGCTATTTCTTTTTGCATAAGTAAAATATATAATTGTTTTACTGTGTGTGCCATCGCTAATTTTCTCGGTTTGCTTCCACACTGAATGGAAACTTGGTGAGAGTTATTTACATCATTACATCAAACTCTCAGTAAGAGACCTGATAGCTGTAATGTTAGCGTCAACATCCAACACTGTCTTTACGCACTACTAGTGATACAACCACAGACAGGCTACCATGCCCCTGAATGTGTATCACTGTGAACCATGTCTCACGGTGTGTGGCCGCTGTACAACTTCTAACTAATGACACACGCTAAACTCTGAATCGTCCAATTTGTTAAATACAGTGTACTGTATGTTGTGGTTTGCTTGCACAGTTTGCAAGTATGCTTAACGTATTAATCCCTGTTGCTGCTATTTATAGTAACACTGCACTGTTCATGACATCCGGTGTGTTGCCACCCCCATTAGGGGGCAGCGGATTCCTGGGACAACACGTGGTCTTTGAGCTTCAAAAGGAGGCGCAGAAGATGCATAAAGGGAAAGGCACCCCGCAAAATAGTGAGGGCGAAGTGACGGCGAAGACGGCAGAAGAGACTAACCGGCTGAGGTGCATCAAGGAGATCCGAGTCCTGGACGTGAAACCTTACAACCCCTGCCTTGGTCAGTGCTGATTTATATGCTGTACTGTATTATGTTGATGGTAAGCGCCCGGCAGCTAGGCTATGAAGTGTGTGAGGATATGTAGAATTTGTTTTTCTAGAACAGATTACAAGAACATAAACTGCCCTACCCAAGCCTAACTAGCCTAACCAAACAACCTCCTCAGGTCTAAACTAACGTAACCGAAACTGCCCTACCAAAACCTACCCAAATTTAATGTAACTTATTTAACGAACCCTAACCTCATCTACTCTAACCAAACCTACCCTACCCAAACCTACATAGCCTCACCAATCATACCCCTCTCCAGTTTAAACATAACTAAACCTACCTTACCCAAATTTAACCGTATACCAAACCTACCCAAACCAAACTTGATCTAACCTAATGTGTACTACCCAAACCTCATCTATCCAAATTTGCCCCAACCCAACCAAACCAAACCTAAGGCTGCCCAAACTAGCCAATCCTAAGCTGTTGTACCGTAGGAGCAATAGGTAGGTTTGCCTGGCGTTGTCCGGGGTGGCAAGTGGCTAGTTAGCGCCTGGCTATACGATGAGAGTAACACGATGAGAGTAACACGGGCCTTGGGATAGTTAGTGGTAATGAAAATCAGGAATAGTTTCCTCGGACTAGAGATAGCAATAAAAACGAGACTCTGAGAATGGTACGTGATTGTGTTGCCATGGTGATGTATGATAACGGAGTTGAAAGTAAAACTTTCAAGATGTACAAGAGGGTTCTGCTGATTGAGATAAAATATTTGGACATACTTGTTAACTCCAGCAAGTTTTTTACTTTATTGTAACATTCAGGGTACATTCAGGGAGTGAAGCAATATTCCTAGTGCTCTCCTACTTGCGACGAGGTTTTGTAAAATGAAAATAGAACCAGTGTGGTCAGTTGTTCATTAGCAGCATTAATCTGCATTTGAATATCCTCGCGTGAAAAATAAAACAAAACAAAAGTTTCAGTGAGGTTAGAAATTGGTGGACCAAAGGTATGCATACAGGTGACTGTCCTACGGTACACAAGGAGTCAGCAAGGCCGGTACTGCACTCGACCGCATTCACTTCCAGAAGTTGTAAACTTGGGTACAATACGTACTCATTTACAGCAAGGTGAACTGGGAGCAGCCCAGGGATCGAACCACACCGACCCATGGAGGTGGCCGCTGTAGCCACTCGACTGCATACAGTAATTTCAGTTTGTACCCTAAAAATACTTTAGTGTCTTATTTGGAATTAGAGTCATTGGTGTTACGATTTTAATGCTGCACTTCAACATCTAAGACTCTAAGGTCTTTAAATGATTAACAATAATGAATTAAGGGTCAAATGCCAGAAATGTATAATTGGAATGTTGATTCTCAATATCTTTGCTGCCCCTAGGTGTCAAACTTCCCTAATTACAGTATTAACCCGATTGTTTCTCAGTTACCACCTTCAACTCTTCAGCTTTGTTTCCTTTTCTGAAAACATGCACTCGTTCGGTAGTTTGGTGATGAGACACGATGACGGTATGTTGGTAGGGCCTTTCTTCAACCTTGGCTTCGCCTTGCCTCCACCCAGGGGGATAAAGAAACTTTGGATTGTGACTATACAGGCTGTATAGACTGTACTCCCTGTGAAGAAACGGACTCACGGAATGAGTCTCCGAACTGACTTATACCCTGAATATCATCTGGTGCAGTTGTGCTGTTTTATCTCATTTGGGGTCGATACTGCTTCAGTCTGGGAGGAAGAGAACGTTTGACTCCGACTGTACACTTGTGTTACACCAAAGACTAGGATTTTGATTTCTCTAATTGGCAAGGAGACAGAGAAAAGTTACCGTAATTCTATACATTTTCGAAAGACATCACCTGTAACAAAATGGAAAGCTTGAACTGCAGTATTATTTCCTTATTATCCAGTATGAAGAGGAAACAATGACGTGAGATGTTTTCAGGTTTTGTATAATACGATCAAATATTTTGGAGCAAAAATATAGGGAGATAAACGACAACTTTAAGAGGAACTGTTATTTGATCTTTACGAAATTTGTCTTATGGCCAAGTAATTTGAGCGTGTATTCCCCTACAGTGCCACCTGCGGGAGCATCAACTAAAGTGGTATTCCAGAAGTGTGATGTGCGGGACTTAACACAGCTGACGAAAGCAGTGGAGGGAGCTGCCGCCATCATCAACTGTTCTGCCGTCACCCCTAACTTACTGCGAGAAGACCTGGGCTGCGACGACCACATGTACCAAGTCAATGTGGACGGTGAGGGTTACCTATTGTGTATGGTTTTTAGCCAATCGCCAACAAACCAAGTAAGCCGTAGATCGGGATGTGGGAAACAAAAACCCGAGCCGATTATAACCCAGCTGCTTGTTTCGAAGCTCCGTCAACTGATAACATTAGTAGCCGGGGATATGACAATAATTCATTGTAATATTTGGTCCAGGAAAACTTAGGCTACGTTTATCAGTTTATTGGTGTGACTATTAGAACTGTGCTCTAGCACGGAGCGAGAGTGAGTGGCCGTTCCTAAAGTTGAAAGTTCTTCGGGGATTACTGGCCACTTCGCCGTTTGGCTATTTCGGCCGAAGCTTTTGTTTGCCGGGTCATTTTCTTTGGACTTCTTCCTTTTGTTCTTTTTACTTTTCAATTGCCATTCTTCTTCTTGGTCTTGTTCTGGTATATTCTCGTAAACGTCTAAAAACGGTGATGCTGTTAATGTTAGTAAATCGTTTTCTTCGGTCTTGTTTAATTCTGGCTTCTTTTCTGTGGTCTTGTTGGGGTCTTGATTTTTTTTTCTGTGGTCTTGTTGGGGTCTTGATTCTTCTTTTCTTCGGTCTTCACTACAAGAAGAGCCTCCTTGTAGCTCAGTTTTTCTTGCTTCGCAGCTTAGCCACCCTACACTCCTCCCTCGACTTGGGACACTCCCGGTCGGAGGAGGAGTGAGAGCCACCACAAGCTGCACATTTCTTGGCGGCCACCGAGTACTTGGTGTATTGGTGCCCAAGTGTCCCGCAACTGCAACAGACCTCCCGAGCTCAACACTTCCCTGCCAGATGGCCATACCTCTGGCATTTGTAACACCTTGTTGGTCTTCTTTCATACGGTCTTACTGGGATGTTCTCCCATCGCAGCAATACGATGCTTGGTAGATTCTTGGGGTAACCAAACAGTGCAGTTGCACTGGTCAGCTTCCGTACCATTGAGAGCTGGTCTCCGATCAGCTCGGCCAGTTCTTCTTTTTCAAGGTGTTCTATCTCGGTGTGGGAGATGACTCCCAACACCAAGTTGTCCTCTGTGCTAGCTTCCATTAGTATTTGGATCCCGTTAATTTCTGTTATGTTGGCTATTTGCTGGACCTGCCTCCATTCTGAAAAGGTGACGATTAGGCCACCACTCACTGGTCTGCGGACGACCCTTGTCACCCCCCTGATTCCTAAGGAGTAAAAAAACTTCCTTAGGACAAGGAGGTTTAATTGCTTGCGCGAAGGGCATGTGACTGGGTACAGTCTTACGACCTATGCCTGGTCACAGGTCAGCATCGTCAGGTTCACGTAGTACCTCGGGAGCAGATTAGATCTTGCCTCGCCGAGGTGCAGTTCTCAGTGGCCGTTCCGAGGCCGCCCAAGAGTATATATACCGGCTGACTGAACGAAGCTGTCTCGGATCAAGTCTCGAACCAAGTTCAGCCACGTCAGCCAGCCGGCTCAACAACAGTTACATGAGCAGAATGGCTAGTTACAAATTATAGGCATCTGTTAACTATATTACATTACATTATATTACATAATTACATTACATTATATTATTCTTCAGTCGCTACACCATAATTAAGCTTTACGAGGGGTGTTTTAACAGAGGGGCTAGCTGGGAACGGCCCTATCAAATAGGCCTAAGGTAGGCAAACAACATCCCAAATCAGTAACGAGACAAAACTTTCATTTCCAGAAAAGACTCCCTTTTATTAGAAAGCGTTTTCCGACCTGTTTCAAGTCATCAATTCAATGTTACACAGCCCATTGTGCGGGCTTTAACCCCATTGTTCTTCTCATTCTTCTCCCGTTATTTTCGTAACTTGTCCCGCAGGCATAAAGAATGTGGTGAGTGCGTGTTGCAGGTCAGGGGTAAGGGCACTCATCCATACCAGCACCCTTTCTGTCAAGGTGGCAGGTACCAAGCTGTTGGGGCACACAGAGACTCTCACACCCCACATCGCCGAGAATAACCTCACGCTCGGAAACTACGCGAGGATGAGACTGCGTGCCGAGGAGATTGTCTTGGGTGCACACGACATGTGTACAGACACAGGTATGGTCATATGGTCGAGTTATGAGGTTTATGTGGTCACCCTTGTGGGATAAAATAAAGTGACATGGGTGTCAATGTTCTAGTCCCTGCAGTTGGTGGGTTATTCGTATTAGAAAAGAAGGTCAATTTCATGTTAGGGTCATCCACAAGCGTTTGACGTCACAAGGTCAAGAAGTAAATTCATCATACAGGAACATCAAATCAGAAAGTCAAAGAACAGTAGCTAGAGACATTATTGTGTTATTACTCACGGTGCTTTTCCTGGATTATTTGCACCGTTTAATCTCGAGTAGACATGTCATGAAATCGTGTAAAAAATATTAGGTCACGTAAATACATCCCAAACACGTCAAACTGAAGAATAAACCCACGAACTCGGAACATCATGTTGTGTGTAAAATTCAACGTTAGGTATTCTTGGTCTTACAGTCAGTATGTAAGCATTCGAATTCCATACATAAAACTAGGTACCCTGACTCAGCGGATAATCAGAGTTGTGGTTACCAGGTTAAAAATGTTTCTTTGTGTATTTTGTATTCACTATCCCTTCAGAATGTTTGCATTTTCCAGGAGACATTCTACAGACGATAGTGCTTCGGCCGCCACTGCTGTATGGTGAGGGGGACCCCAGCTTCGTGCCTTACATCCTACGTCTCGCCAGTGCAAGTGGTAACAGACTCCCCTCCGTGGGTAACCCTGCAGCCTTCCTCCAGGCTGCCTATGCTGGTAAGACACCCAACCAAAAATATGGTATCCATAAAGTATTATCAATCAAAGCAACGAATTTGCATCACATGATTATGTATTTAGTAATACCAACCCATGAACTAAGTGTGCTTGAGTACAATAAGTATTTTGTAAGTAACATGCAGTTACTAGGATTGGAAGTGGTAAGTTGGACTGATTTGTTCGTTTTACTTTTTATAACAAAGTCAATTGGTACAACATTGGAAAGAGCATTAACGATAATACTGCAATTTGAAACTGTTCATCTTAGTCTTGGCAGGATAAACTGGTTTAACTGGTTTTTAGATAATTACTTTATACTATACTTAAAATGGAGTGAACCGCAGTAGAATCAGCACGACAAATGGAGTAGGATATGAGTTAGAGTAATGGTCAGCGGGGTGAATCACCTTTGCTGATCTTAACGGGAGTGAGAGATGTTCCTTCCCTCTGTGACTTGTGGTTGCGCTTTCAGTTAATGTGTGTAATCCTGCTGCTGCTCTACTACAGTAGGTATTTGTTCTTGGTAGATGAACTTGTTAAGTCAGTAGTATTATTACTCCATGCAGGCAAATACCTGCAGAAACTTGCCATATTAGTAGTACAATGGTTGCAGCGCAAACCTCATGAACTAGGTTACTGCTGAATGAGGAAGTAACGGGAAACCACAATCTTTTTCATTGTGTTTGGAAGAGAACTTAAAAGGTGTTAGATGAAGTTGAGACAAATTAAAAACGCCATATCTATGACCAGGATATGCATTAATTATCTATGCAATTGTGCATGTTGCAGGCAACTTGGGCGTGGCTCATGTGTACGCGCTGAAACACTTGCTCAATGGCCCTGCTGGGGGTGTGCAGGGGTGTGGTGGGCTGCCCATGTACGTAACAGACGACACCCCACCCAACAACCTACCTGGATTGGCCGAGCCATTCCTTCACCACCTGCACCTTCAGCCATCACGCAACACTTCATACTGGGTTCTCTACCTCTTATTGATACTCAGCAGTCTCTGGGCTTTTGTTTGGTCTCTTTTGGGCTATAATAGTGAGGGAATACCTTCGTCTCTGCCGTTACTCCCTCTGCACCGCTCTGCCAGCACCATAATTGTTGTGAGTCGCATGCGGGCAGAATTGCATACAGGCTATACTCCAGCCTACACCTGGGAGGAGGCGAGACAACGCTCGAACTCTTATTACACTAAAAATCTTATGTAACTTAATGCATTAATAATACCGTCCACCTCTGTTAGCCCTGATTTGGCCGGCCAACTGCTACAGCTACGGTAATATATATATATATATATATATATATATATATATATATATATATATATATATATATATATATATATATATATATATATATATATATATATATATAATAAAACAAGTTGTAAAATAGTACAAATTGTAATAAAGCTATCGATTTGATAGTTTTGCAAGTGAATTACATGAGTGATACTAGGATCAGGGTAATATTTTAACTATTAACATTTATGTACACCAATACTTGAAAATAATTGTCCATGATATCTATTAGTATAACACTGATCATGTTAGTGGTGTTAATGCATGTTTCAGGTCCATTAGAATAATTTGTAATTTACTTAATTATAAACCATTAGCATGATAAATCGTCTTACATTATCCTTCTCCCAAGGCAAAAAGGAAAATGCAGCTGGAGGTCTTCGTGTGAAATTTGGTAAAAGAAAATTAGGCTATGTAAAAGTAAGAGTGACGTTAAGTGATTATCACCCCCTTTTTTTAACATAATATTGGATGATGGCGTCAGACCTGTGTATCGCCAATTGAAGCGTCAACCAATGCAGTTTATTGTACTTGTTCTAAACAGGCTACTCTTTTAATAATATACAGAACATCACTGTTTCTCTAAACTAGTAACAGTTAGCTGTGACACTACCTTAATTATTATTGTCGTTCAACAATGACTCAACCTGTTGACAATTAAACAGGGCTGAGCTTGTAACTATGTCAGAGGTCGAGCGCAGGTCAGCTGATTAATCAAACAACCGGCTGGCTCCCACGCCCGGAGAAGGCGGCAGAACCTTACCACTTGATCAGGGAAGAACACGTAACTCAAGTGTTCTCTCGAAGTGTATTCACAACACTTCACTGGAGAGAATTCATAATTTGTTCTCTCAGATATTATCTGTGTATTTGCTTCAACAATAAAGAAAAAACAGCAAGAAGTGTTTACATGAAGCCCTGCTACTTAAAGAATTCCAGAACTTATTTAAAACAATTAATGTGATACCAAAACTGCTATCACAGTTCAATAAGAAAAATCCTGTGTGGACTGAGATGAGTATGATCGTCCCTCCCTAAATCACCGTAGATTTGTTTTGAAATGTTCGAAAATCATCAAGCAATAAATATTGAAGTGATTGGCATTTCTCTATGAGTAGAAAAAAGTGTAGTGATGTATTATGATCAGAGGTAAGAGCGAGCATACGAGAAGCAGTAAGGGAGGGAATTCCCGCGCCATTATGATGTCATAGAACTTTTCATCATGCCACGGGACCTTTAAGTGATACGTATATGCAATTTCTTTGTGATTTCCTTATTTTCAGGGTTGTTGGGATCTAATAATGATGTTAATGATGATTGTTAAATAACAAAAAAGATTCCAGGGTCATATAATAATCTGTGAAGATCGAGATGCAAATGTTACCATAACCAGTTTTCTTAATAAGAAACAACATCTTGTTCCTAGACGTTACCACTGATTTTTTTTATATATATGAATGAAAGTGTAGATGAATTATTAAGCTGTAAGGTTACCTGAAGGAGGCCTTCAGGAAAGCTATTGTCTAAAGGGACAGGAGGAATTACTTTGCATCTTGTGACTAAGGTTACCATTATTGCAGAGTAATCATGAATAGCTTACTTGCTTGTGCTGTTATGAGTAGATTTAAGAGCACATGGATGTAAGATCTCTAAAAACTCTTTTCCAGGATAGGTGATGTGAATTCATAGTAAATGAAAAAATAAAAACAAAATTGAATGGTTTAATTATGTTCTCTTATTTATTGCTTATTGTTTTTGTTTGTTTTTTAACATTGGAAATTCAGTCTTACCCTGAATAGGGAGGAGTGGAATGAAATTGATCTAGTTTTAACTAATTTCACATCAACTGAATTTTATCAATGTTCTCAAGTGTAAACATCTAAGAACTAAGAATTATGAGAATTATACAAGTTTGCCTTAAAACGACATTAGAGAATTATATGAGCATGTCTTAGAGCGACCTAAAATTTAAGTAAAATTGAAAAGAAAATCTATATTTGAAAAATTTGAATACTGTTAATATTACGAAATGTTAACCAATCTCAACAAGTGCATAAACAAGTAGGATGATTATAGATCATTGTGAGATTGTTTTGAAGTTTTTCAATTACTGTAATTCATGAGAAAAAGAAGATTGAAATTAAATGCTTTGTATAGTCATAAAGATAATGCATTCAAAAAGAATATTTCTCTGTTCATGGGTTGTGTTATTATTTAAAAAACCTAGTACATGAAAGAATATTGATTGCAGATTATGATAATGTAAAAGAGAAGTTATAATTTATTAAGGTTATAGAAGAGTCACAAGTGATCATGGGTCCTTCGTGCCAGGTGGCGAGTCCGGTGGTACAGTTTACCGAGGCGTGAAAGTTCGAACGCAAGTGCTTGGCCAGCAACTGCCAACCTGCTGACAGCGTACAGTGACATCGTTTTCCAGATGGTCGTGGTTGTTATAAGCATGGTCGTGGTTGTTATAATCATGGTCATGGTTGTTATAATCATGGTCGTGGTTGTTATAATTATGGTCATGGTTGTTATAATCATAGTCGTAGTTGTTATAATCATGGTGGTGGTGGCTATGATCATAGTCGTGGTTGTTATAATCATGGTCGTGGTTGTTATAATTATGGTCGTGGTTGTTATAATCATGGTCGTGGTTGTTATAATCATGGTCGTGGTTGTTATAATCATGATCGTGGTTGTTATAATCATGGTCGTGGTTGTTATAATCATGGTCGTGGGTGTTATATTCATGGTCGTGGGTGTTATAATCATGGTCGTGGTTGTTATAATCATGGTCGTGGTTGTCATAATCATAGTCGTGGTTGTTATAATCATGGTCGTGGGTGATATACTCATAGTCGTGGTTGTTATAATCATGGTCTTGGTTGTTATAATCATGGTCGTGGTTGTTATAATCATGGTCGTGGATTGTTAATCATGGTCATGGGTTATTTATAATCGTATTCATGATTCATTATAATCATAGTCATGGTTGTTATAATCATGGTCGTGGTTATGAGTCCTAGTTGGTTGTTATAATCACGGTCGTGGTTTGTTATAATCATGGGCGTGGTTATTATAACACATGGTCCTGGTTATTATAATCTAGGTGGTTGTTATAATTATGGTAGTGTTTGTTATAATCATGGTCGTGGTTGTTAGAATCATGGTCGTAGTTGTTAAAATCATAGTCGTGGTTGTTATAATCATGGTCGTGGGTGATATAATCATAGTCGTAGTTGCTACAATCATGGTCGTCCTTGTTATAATAATGGTCGTGGTTGTTATAATCATGGTCTGGTTGTTATAATCATGGTCGTGGCTGTTATAGTCATGGTCGTGGTTGTTATAATCATCATGGTCGTGGTTATGATCATAGTCGTGGTTCTTATGATCATAGTCGTGGTTGTTATAATCATGGTCGTGGTTGTTATAATTATGGTCTTGGGTGTTATAATCATAGTCGTGGTTGTTATAATCATGGTCGTGGTTGTTATAATCATGGTCGTGGTTGTTATAATCATGGTCGTGGTTGATATAATCATGGTCGTGGTTATTATAATCATGGTCGTGGTTGATTTATAATCATGGTCGTGGTTTTATAATCATGGTCGTTGGGCGATTCATAATCGTGGTTGTTATGATCTGGTCGTGGTTGTTATAATCATGGTCGTGGTTGTTATAGTCATCATGGTCGTGGTTGTTATGATCATAGTCGTGGTTGTTATCATCATAGTCGTGGTTGTTATAATCATGGTCGTGGTTGTTATAATTATGGTCGTGGTTGTTATAATCATGGTCGTGGGTGTTATAATCATGGTCGTGGTTGTTATAATCATGGTCGTGGTTGTTATATTCATGGTCGTGGGTGTTATAATCATGGTCGTGGTTGTTATAATCATGGTCGTGGGTGTTATAATCATAGTCATGGTTGTTATAATCATGGTCGTGGTTATGATCATAGTCGTGGTTGTTATAATCACGGTCGTGGTTGTTATAATCATGGTCGTGGTTGCTATAATCATGGTCGTGCTTGTTATATCATGGTCGTGGTTGTTATAATCATGGTCTGGTTGTTATAATCATGGTCATTGGTTGTTATAGTCATGGTCGTGGTTGTTATAATCATCATGGTCGTGGCTGTTAGATCATAGTCGTGGTTCTTATGATCATAGTCGTGGTTGTTATAATCATGGTCGTGGTTGTTATAATCATGGTCGTGGTTGTTATAATTATGGTCGTGGTTGTTATAATCAGGTCGGGGTTGTTATAATCATGGTCGTGGTTGTTATAATCATGGTCGTGGTTGTTATAATCATGGTTGTGGGCGATATAATCATAATCGTGGTTATAATCATGGTTCGTGGTTGTTATAATCAGGTCGTGGTTGTTATAATCATGGTCGTGGTTGTTATAATCATGGTCGTGATTTAAATCATGGTCGTTGGTGTTATAATCATAGTCATGGTTGTTATAATCATGGTCGTGGTTATGATATAGTCGTGGTTGTTATAATCACGGTCGTGGCTGTAATCATGGTCGTGGTTGTTATAATCATATGGTCCTGGTTGTTATATATCATGGTCGGTTGTTAGAATCATGGTCGTAGTTGTTAAAATCATAGTCGTGGTTATAATCATGGTCGGGTGATATAATCATAGTCGTGAGTTGCTATAATCATGGTCGCTTGTTATAATCGTGGTCGTGGTTGTTATAACTGGTGGTGGTTGTTATAATCATGGTCGTGGTTGTTATAGTCATGGTCGTGGTTGTTATAATCATGGTCGTGGGCGATATAATCATAATCGTGGTTATAATCATGGTCGTGGTTGTTATAATCATGGTCGTGGTTGTTATGTCATCATGGTCGTGGTTGTTATGATCATAGTCGTGGTTGTTATGATCATAGTGGGTTGTTATGATCATGGTCGGTTGTTATAATCATGGTCGTGGTTATTAAAATTAGGGTCGTGTTATAATCATAGTCATGGTTGTTATAATCATGGTCGTGGTTATGATCATAGTGGTTGTTACAATCACGGTCGGTTGTATGATCATGGTCGTGGTTGTTATAATCATACGGTCCTGGTTATAATCATGGTCGTGGTTGTTATAATTATGGTCGTGTTTGTTATAATCATGGTCGTGGTTGTTAGAATCATGGTCGTAGTTGTTAAAATCATAGTCGTGGTTGTTATAATTGGTCGTGGGCGATATAACTCATCGTGGTTATAATCATGGTCGTGGTTGTTATAATCATGGTCGTGGTTGTTATAATCATGGTCGTGGTTGTTATAACTGGCGCGGTTATTAAAATCATGAT